CACATCAGCAGACATATGAAAAGATGAAGTATTCCTGCAGCATTCAAAACTGTAAGAAATTTTGGGCCCAGTGCCCTGGGGGTCAGACCCATCAGGACTGATCTGTATGTTAACAGGGAGAGCACCTACCTGCTTGAGAAATCTGGGAATACAGGTTTTCTTCCCACCGCATCTTCTCCACATGAATTAATCTGTTAGCTGGTGTGTATGTCGGTTTTTTTAGGAATATGTGTGCTGACAATTGGCTCCTGACTGTAAAATATGGTCTTGGGGGAGAGCATGATTAAGATTAATTGCCTGCCTTATAATGTGTGTATGTATGTGTATATGTGTTTGAGTGCAGTCATTATCAGTATGCATGTATCTATAAAGCTAAAGACAAGCTAAAGGCAAGTAATCAGTAAGACACTAGAAGTGTTAATAAACAGAAAAGGTCTTTGAATTGTTTGGAGTGCTTTTGATGGACGTGGAGCCAAGGGGAATCTTATTTTGCCCCAAATGCATCATTTTCAGATATAAAACATGAGGCAATTCACAGCAGAAAAAATTTTCCTGGCGTTTTCAGTATTTTGGTGACACACTTTATTTAAAAGAAACAGGGCTGCAGAGTATGGTTGATAATGACTGTAATCCTTACCCTTGAGAGGTTAAGGCAGGCAGATAGCAAGTTCGAATCTAGTCTGGACTACAAAGCGAGATTCTAGCTCAAAGTAAACTAACAAAACACAACAAAAAAACAACAATAAAAAATCAAAATGAAAACAGAATGCAAAAATAGGAGAAAGAAGTAGAGCTACACCTCCAAAAGCAGGTCTTTACAATACTAATTTGGAGATTTTTGTTCTTTATAATTCTTACAGCTATCAGTGGTGGTAAGTTCTGCATTCAATGTGATAGTGAGGTGAGTCCTGTTGGTCCTTGTTAAAACCCAGAACATTGGACTGGATAATATAGCCTGAGCTATATAGTTTCCCCAAAAGTAAAACGTAGGCAACTTATGAGTATGATTTCTATATTTTCCCAAATGAAGGCTGAAATAGACAAAAACAAAACTTAGCATCGCTTCGTTGTCGAATGGGCACTGTGTTACAGAAAGCAAGGGGATACAATCTCACAGAAAGCAAAGCTTTAATCTGAAGAACTGGATTGCACAGCATTGATGGACAGCTGGGATCCCCTGCAATCACAACCATGGAGGTGGCATTCTGAAGACTCTTAATCTTGGCAACAGCACTCTTCACTGGAATATTACTGTAGCATCAGAACTCAGAGTGAATTAAAGGGGAGAGAAACGGGAGGGCACAGATGTGGCCAGCTAAGAGGCCAGTCTCCCAGGATACAGGCATGATAACCTTGTTTCAGTCCCACAGGCCCTGTGCTGACTGCCTGACACATGTCATCTTATCTGACTACTTTCCTATTTTAGAGACTGGCCTTGGGAGGTTGTTTCAATTAACATGTGGCCCCTACAGCGAGTTTCTGGAGACAGGCCAGAGCTATCAACTCTGTAAAGCTGACAGTTGAAGAACTGGGAAAGGAGAAAGTTGCTGGGATGAAAAGGGTCAACAGAAAGCTGAGAGAAGAGAATCAGCTCAAAATTCTATTGAGAGAAGGTCGGAACACAAAAGGCAGAATTGGAAGCTCCATCAGAGGCTGCTGCAGGAGGACAGGGAAAAGAGCAGCAGCCAGGAGACCAAACAGCCAAGAAATAACCCAGCATTGCCATGGCTAGATTAGGGCCGGGCTGGGCTGGCAGCAGGAGTGGGCTCAGCAGATGGAGAAAGTGATGCCCGGTGGTGACTGCAGAGCAGAGCGATGGGTTGTTTGTCTCTCTCTCCTAGTAGAGTGACTTGAAGATTCTTTGAATCACTCAGCAAACATTTATTGGTGTCTTCTAAGGAACTGAGTGCTAAGGATCTGGAGATAAAAGGAACTGCCTCTGCTCTTAAAGAGCCCTCAGTCTGGAAACTGACTAAGGGAGATGAGAGCAAAACAGACAAACCTAATATTGTGTGTGTAGAACCACGGGGGAGGAAAGCCTACTGCTCATGTCATTTAGGCGTATTAACGTTCCTGGAAAGGTCCAGTTAACATACCACAGGGTTAATTCTGTGTTGGGCTTTTGAGGCTAATTGGGGATTCTCCAGATAAATAATGGAACGCTGACCTTCTAGGCAGAGAAAACAGGGGACACAGAGGAATGGAAAATCATTTTCTTGAGTGTGTAGGTGGAGGGGGAGCACAGTGGGTGTGGTATTGAGGCCGGAGGTAGCTGCTGAGGAGTTAGACTTATGTGTGTCCACAGGCCTAGGGGAAGCAGCCAGCCCAGCTCAGATGGAGTATCTTCACCAGAGAGGTGATGGCTGAGAGGGAGGCAAGAGCAGCCCAGGCTTGATGAAGATTGGACACCAAGCTTTATAAGTAGGGAGGAAGGCTGGTTTTGACTTCTTTGGCAGGCTGGTGGCTGAGGCCATCTGCCTGCGAGGAGAGAGAGAGAGAGAGAGAGAGAGAGAGAGAGAGAGAGAGAGCGAGCGCCTGGGAGAAGGGTAGGAGAGGCTCACTGGGAATTCTAGAGAGGAATGAAAGATTGCCATATTGTCGTTATTTGAAATTCACAAAGACTTTCATCAGCTATGTAACTGACTCTCACTGACACCACAGCCCTGCATTTGTTGATCCGCTTTTAAATGCAGTGTGATCTTCCCTCGAAGTATCTGCAGAGCTATCAGATGCCAAGTGTGGCTGTCCTGGATGGGGGCCAAGGAGTATTGATTACATATTCTCTGTCCTCTTGTTGAAACTTGTTTATGTTTCACAGTGAAACATCAACTAACAGGGAAGGATTCTTTATGGAACACCAATTATGAGTCTTGGTGGGAGCTTTTCAGGAAACAGAAAATCAGAAGTTGAATTTGAACTTATTAATGTATATTTAAAAGGGAATTTCCTCAGTTTCTTAAATCTCAAAGAGAAGAATGATATTGAAGACAGGATGGCTGGCATGAAGTGCTCTGGTCTGAACTCTGGCTGCAGGTTTGCGCCAGGTTATACTGTGACTAACCCTTAACTTTGGGTGAAGCATCTCCTGGGGTCCAGCTTGGGTGATGAGCATCCCTTTTTTTCCTCCTTCACATGCCACAGTGACATAAATTCAGTAGTAGAAGGCTTTATGCTTTTTAAAAAAATTTTTTAACTTTAAAAAATATTTTATTTATTATTTTTATTTTATGTGTATGTATGTATTGGCTGCATGTAGGTAATGCCTGTAGAGGTCAGAAGAAGCTGTTGGATCCCCTGGGACTGGAGTTACGGATAGTTGTTAGTTGTCATGTGGGTGCTGGGATTCGAACCTGGGTCTTCTGCAAGAACAGTCAGTGTTCTTAACTACTGAGCTATGTCTCTACCCCCCGAAGGCTTTAGACTTTTAACACACGAGTTTTTAAAATTTTAATTTTGTGTCTGTGAATATATGTGTGTGTGAGTGTGGTACATGTATGTATGTGGTATATACACATATGTATATGGGCATTGGCCTCTGTGTGTATAGAGACCAGAGGAAGATGTTGGGTGGCCTGCCAACATCTATTACTCTCTACCTTATTCCCTGGAGACAAGGTCTCTCACTGAATCTTGAGGTAGGCTGGCAGTCAGCAAGCCCCAGTGATCTCCTGTCTCCACCTCTGCTGAGGTTTCAGGTGTGTGGGGGGCCAAGCCTGGCTTATTACAAGGAGTGCTGGGTTCGTAACTCAGATCCTCATGCCTGTGCAGCAAGCATCCCATCCGCTGAGCAATCTTTCCACCCCCCTTGCCACACCAGCTTTAAGTCCAGTTAAACAGTTTTAGACAATAATTCTGAATTCTTTTCCTGTGCCTAGCTTATATAGTGACAATTGGCAAATGTGCATTTCCTGTTTATGAAAAGCCACATCAGCTATGAGGACCCACTGGAGGCAAAAGGAACCAGAATACGAGGAAAAATAGCACACAGGAAACCCAAGGGAATCTGAAGGAGAAAGTGGCAATAGGGAAAGAGAATAATAGGCTGATGTGTGCTGTTACTCATGATGGTTTTATCATGTAATTTAGATGATCTGCGGCAACTTTTTGAATAAAATATTTTCTGCCATTAAAAAATGAAGGGAAAAATAGTAGTCCTTTTTTGGAAGAATTATTGTAGAGGGTTTTTAATTTATATAGGAGCTAAATTCATAGTAGACAGAGTAATGGTACCTACGACCTCTCTCTCACCACTACCCCAGAGATGTCTAGGTCCTAATCCCTAATTCCTATATGCTTTTATAGGGCAGAGAGTCTCTGTAAGAACTGATTAAATTAAGGATCTTGAGGCACTAGGTTTACCTTGTCTTGTCTGGCTGGGCCAATGGAACCATAAGGGTTCTTATGAGAAGAGGACAGGAGTGTCAATCAGAGAGAAAGAGGTGACAGCCAAGAGACAGGGAAGATGTGACTATGGAAGCATAGGTCAGAATGACACTCCTGCTGGAAGGGGTCTCCAGAAACTGGAGAAGACAGGAATAATTCTCTGCAGGAGCCTCTAAAAGAAACACAGTCCTACTGACACCTTCAATTTGGGCCATGTGATCTCCACTATGATGAAGCCATGTTGTTTCAAGCCATTAGGTTTAGAGCCATTTGTTACAACAGCAAGAGGAAACAGACACAAACTTAATGAGTCATGCTGATTCTCTGGATTTTGCTTTCCTCTTGCCTCCCAAATGTGCTCTTAATTTCCTGTGTGCCCTTAATTCATTTCAAATTTCCTTCTTTCACAAGCCTTGTGTGGGTGTGGGTGCGTGTTGGGGGGGGCAAGGAGTGGGAGGGTACGGTGGATGGAACCCAGGGACTCACACTTGCTAAGCAAGAGCTCTACACTGAATGCCCCCATCATGTAATTGTCTCTGTTTTTTTCTGTTAGATGTGAGCTCCTGCAGGCAAGGAATTGTCCTATTCCATCTTTGTGTCTTGGTGCTTAGCACAGTGCTGAGGATGGAGTAAGAGCACAAATCAGTGGTGGAGCTAGTCAAATAAGTGCCCAAAGGATTTTCAAGTGGATCAGAGAGTCACGTGGACCAAAAGGAATTGTGTCTGCTCTCTCCAGCTTGGTAAGATTTGAGGGGTCACCCTCTGATGATAACAGAAGATTACTGCTTGTGATGGCACATGAGGGAGTGTCCGTTCACCCAACAGCTACTTGATTCCAGCTGCTTTCTTCTGTTACACTTGAGCCTGCTGAAGTCTGGCACAAATGGTTGGCTCATGTGGGTATGGGTGACTGAACTTGAGTGGGCCTTGAGGCCTTCTGTGGTGACTAACCCACACGGCCTGGGTGTTTACCAGAAGTGGTATCTCATCCCCATGTGAATAGATTGGCTTCTCCTCTAGTGCTCTGTGCCGAGCCTCTTGGAGCTGGGGATCTTCTGGAGACTTCGCTTAGGTTCTGTTTCCAGATTGGGCCTTGACACAGCTGTTTTGCTATCCTTGATCTCTGGAACAAGCAACAGCTTTTCTGTTTGGATGCCATTTGCATTTGGAGCTGTTGGCTGAGCGCCTGTGAGACTTTTTGACTCCATGGGATTTGAGACCAACCGAAGTTAGGTTCTTGAAAGAATTTTGCTTCTTATTTTTTTCTCTTTAACGCTTGCTAGAGTTTCTGTGGAAACTACCATGTGCACTGTGGACTCATAGTTTTAGCTCTTAAATATCAGCAGTTCTTGGGGTCCTCTGCTTTAGGGTGCTTTAGAAAGCCTCTTGGCCACCCCCACAATATTTCTCGTCTATCTGAGAACCTCTTTTTTTCTCATGCTGTGTTTGTTGAAGAACCTCTAGTTGGCCTTCTTCAGCATTCTCCCTCTGAGGGTAACCACCCAGGGGGTCTGTTCTCCCTAGGCTTCCTTCTCTAACCAGCCTGCCTGTCTTTGTCTCTCCTGCTGTTGAGTTGCTATTTAGGAGTTCACACCATACATTTTTGTGGTGAAGACAACTGCCATCTTTTTTCAAAGAAGATTTAAACATTCACAAAATGAGGAAAGTAGGAAAGGAAGAAAGGGAGGGGTGGCTACAAGCCTGTCCCTGCACAGATCCCCAGAGTTGAGTGTGCTGCTGCTGGTGATGCCCACTTCCTCCTCTACCAGGGTAGTGACAGCTCTCTCAAAAACACATGCTGGGTTGAAAGACTGGTTTTCCCTGACAGAAGAAGGCATTTCCATAAAGATAATTAAAATAACATGGAAGGCATATGCCCCACACAATTGAAAGCAGGGACTGGCAGATATTTATATACCCACATTTATAACAGCGGTAGTCACAATAGCTGGGTGCTGGTGGAAAGTTCCCAAATGCCCACCAACAGGATAGATAATGCTTGAATGCATAAGTTAACCTGGCGTATGCATGCAATGGAATATTAGCCTTAGAAAAGAATGAAATTCTGATACATGCAGCAACATGAATCATGTTGCATTATGCCAAGTGAAGTCAGCCAGATGTGAAAGGACAGGAATTATACCATTCCACCTGCATGAGGTACCCAGAGTAGCCAAACTCACAGAGGCAGATGGAGAAGGGCCATTACCAGAGGCTTGGGGAGGGGTGAACACTCTGTCAGTGTCTAATGGGCACAGAATTCCAGGTCAAGAAGATGATAAGGTTCTGGTGATGGTTACATAATAATGTGAATCTGAACTGTACACGTAAAATTGGCTGAAATGGTAAAGTTTATGTTATGTGTCTTTTACCACAATAGAAAAATATAAGAATGAGTAACATGGAAATCATGGTTTTGTCATTTCCTCATAAATCATTTTCACTTTTCAATCAAGGGTGCAATAGAAGAATCAAAAGATGTACAAAAATTATTGGAAGGAGATTTACCTATCAGGATGACTGTTGTTTAATGTATTTTCTTCTTTCCATGTTGTGGTGAGAAAAAAAGTCTTATTTAAATAACACTGAACACTTTTCTTCTAAGTAATTTTTTCCTGTGACTTTGTTTACCAATCTAGGAAAGAAAACATGCTTATTGAGTCACATGTATGTTTGCAAAAGTTACCCAATAAACTCTGTGACCATAGTAACCCTCAGAGCTGTATTAGAAACCTGAATTTTGCAATTCTTGTACACAAATTGAATAACACTTCTTGTCCTGGGTTCCCTGACTTCACACAGGAAGTATGTGACCTCCAGGTCTCCAGGCGCTCTGAAAGGGAGCTTTGATAGAAACAAAGCAAGCAGTGGGATTCCTCTTGGTTCAGGTAATTTTTGTGGCTGATAGTTGAGTTGAACTTTTAAAAAACAAATACCACCTGCTTGCTTACTCTAGGAATGGGAGTTTGGGTGGACTGAACTCAGCTTTGATGGCCAGATGCCCTGAGTGCTTGGCAGGCTTACACTGTGATTTCTAGTGAGTCACTTTGCCCTTCTGTGCCTGCATGCAATGGGGCAGATTGGGTTTGAAAGTGGCCCACCTCACACCTGCCAGTCTTCCTGGGTCAACCCAGGTTACATTCCTTTCTGTAATTTAGGGAGCAAGCAGGGTGGAAACAGATGCACCACCTCCAATGTGCCATAAAATAAAAACAATAAGAAATCACAAATTAGTATAATTCTTTGTCCCAATGACTAATTCAGCACTCTTTGAAAGATCAGATTACAATTTAGCTCCCTTCCTCCCTCTCCTCCCCTCCCTCTCCTCCCTCCCTCTTTGTCCTCCTTCCTCCTCCTTCTTTTTACTTTCCTTGTTTCTTTGCTTTTGTTTTTGCAGTCCATGCAGTTTGTGCACCCGGAGTGTAACATTTTTGCCTTTTATGACATCTACACACACACACACACACAGGCCCCATATTACTCCCTGTCTTCTCATTCCTTTATGTTTTCAGGCAAGGGTCATAGATCATAGGTAGCAACAAGAATATATAATGGGAGACGCAGGGAGTTGGCAAACAGATAATTGACTAACTGTAACTAAAAATAGAAGAGGCAGAGAATGTTCGGAGATGAGCCCCAACACCCAGCATGCTCTCTCCACCTATCAGAAAATCTGGGTCTCTGGCCTTTCCAAAGAGAAAGTGGATTGGGAGGCTCACAGAGGGGAACTGGAAGCTATGTCATGTCTACTCCTTTTTTGAGGCAGGTGTATTGGGTGTGGCCAGGGCTGTCATTCTTGGGGTCTCTGAGTAGCCACCTGACAGACCAGTCTGGGAGGCTTCCGGGTAGGGAGAACCCTCCTGGGGGCTGTGAGAAAGAAAATCTGGCTTGCTGGTTTCTTACTATGTTGTCCACTGGATTCAGATTGGTGTGGTAACATAGGGAATGACACCCTAACCTGGAGTAAATATTGAGTAACAACTGGGAATTATTTTTTCTTGTAGCATTTGAAATGATACTAAATATCAGTCGTGATAATAGTAATAAAGTGATAATTATTAGAGCTAAGAGATGATCTATTTTTATGTGTTTTATTTTTAGTCTTATGATACACTGCACTTCTTTTTAAACATGTGAGACAGGTACTATTATTATAGGCAACATACAGAGATCTCTTGCTAAAAGATAAGGTGAGACATATTAAAATGTTGAAGAGACTGTTTGAATAGACATCTGTGATTCATGAGTTGGGAAGCTCTGGACTGTAGCTGGTTGGGAGCTCCAGTCAAGGGTGGCAGTAGGGGTCATACAGTGAATACTGAAGCACAGCAAAGATGTGATTGGTTAAAGGGAGCAGTAGCCTTCAAGTCCCTGTAGAGGTTAGTTGGTGCTTTCTGATAGATAAAGCAAGTCTCGATTCTTAGTGCTGATGACCGTTGCTGCTGAGCTGACTTTCTGGTTTGCTTATATAGGATCCCAGGATGCTACAGCTGCCTCAGCCTAATGGTCTCTCATTTAGTCATCTTAACACTCCATTTTACATACTGAAGCTATTTGCCTAAGGACTGTGTGACCAGGTGGTAGAGGCTTCATTATGCGACATTTATTATCTCCTTTTACTCTTCGAATATTGTTGATTCTTGGATTTTGCTAAGATGTAGCTCCATCCACTGTGACTTTCATGAAACAAAGTGAAGCATTATTAGAAAAAGATCTCAGGGGACAGCTGCAAGCAGAGAAAGACAGTCTTCTCTGTGCCAGTCTGATGGCGAGTTAAGCAGGAAGACCTTCCTTCCCACAGTCTGGTCTAGGCATGCTTTACTTTAATTGGATTGAGGAGGTAAGAAAGCGCAATTTTGAGATACGGTATTCATGAGGTGGTGTGGAGATTTGTAAAGGTATTTTTTAATGGTGTTTTAGTTGGGCAATTGAAGTTGGGCAATAATTCTGTGTTCTGAATATAAGGAAAAGTCAACATTACAGTAAGGTGAGGACACAGGCTCCCAGGGAGAGAGACAATGGCTTATGAGTTCTGCCAGCTGAAGGCACAGGGCCTAGAGTCTCGGGTGACCCAAGTCAAGCTCCCTCAGGCATCACCCTGTGGCTGTACTTCCTCTGCTATGTGCCCAGGGTATCTGGCTCACAAGGACATTTCCCAAATCCCTCCCTCTGTCTTCAGAGTGGGTGGGCGTGGCCAATGGGAGGTATCACAAGAGTCTGTGGTGAGAGGAAGGAGAGGTGGGGGGAGTTTCCTCCCTTTTCACTGCCTGTTCTAGTGTTGTATTTCCAGAAGTTACTGTTTCTTGTTGAAGACAGCTCCACCAGGCCACCCCTCCTCCAGGGTACCTGGTGCAAAACAGATTTAGGAATAACTATGTCTTCTTCACGTCCCTTCAGTCTCAGAAACCAATAATTGCTTCAGGTGTTTCTTATGCAAAGGGTGCTTCCCATGCCTGTGTGTTGAACCTGTAACTCTGGCCTCACTCACTAAGCAGTGCAGTTGTTGGCACCTTCCGTCCCACCTCTGGTTGAGGTCTAGGTTTGATTAGCAAAACACTTCACTGTTTCTTAAACTGAATGTGCACACATGTCACCTAGGGACCCAGTTCAAGTACCGCTTCGAAGAGTCGGGTGGAGCCTCAGAGTCTACATGCTTGGAGCATGAAGGACTCAGTTCCTTACTCATTCGCCATATGACCACACTGTAAATATGTCTCAAGGCGTTCTTTAAAACACTTAA